CAATATCAACGGAATCACCACGGTCAATAGCTTTGGTCCATTTATCTAAACAGTATAAAAGGCATGTCTCAGTGGAACGACCAGGGAGAAAGCCATGTTGTTGGTCAGGTACTATACCTTCATGAATAGCAAAATGAATTATTCTTTTACACAAAATTCGTTCCATTAATTTACAGCAAACTGCAGTCAAACTTATAGGACGATAGTTTTTACGGCCAGTTTTGTCATCTTTTTTAAAAATGGGTGTGACAGAAGATTTTAACCAGTCGGACGGTAAAGAAGTTGAAAGTAAAGACTGCGACATTATGTGAGCAAGAGGCTTGGCTAATTGCAGAGCATATTTTTTTAAGAAAGAACCACAGATATTATCAGGACCAGGGGCACTATGTTCAGAAAGGTTCAATAGCTCACAATAAACTATAGCTTCATTTATTTCTATAGTATCAAGATACGATGATGTCGGGGGAGAACTAGGTAGATTTTGAGAGTCTTCACTGGTATATGTCAGTGGCGGCTCGTGACTGTCTGATGTGGTGAGGCGATGATAGAAGTTTGACAATAATAGTTATATTACTTGGTCTTACTAGTTAGTAATGATAGAAGTCTTGCCTGAATACCGGTCGTTCCCGGGTCAGTGGTAGGTCTTAATAATAATAATAATAATAATAATAACACCCATAACACATTGAATCAACAATGTTTTTACAAGTCAAAATTTTGTTGAAAGTAGCACTTTCTTGGAGGGATGCGGGAATAGTTGTTGTGTTCTTTTCTAAATGTTTTAAGCCCATGAAATTTTTAATGTGTACTTTGGAACTTTCATGTAACTTTGCACTTTGGATGAAATTCTTTAAATCGTTATATCCCGTAATGTGTAAATATTACGGCAGCACAATTTATATTTTCCTAGGTACCAAGTTGATTTAAAAGACTAGTTAGAGTACTGGAATTCTGTCGCTTATCAATGGAAGTTAAATGAATTAACTGTTTTGACTGCTCGATATTTAGCAAAATTTGTCGACGTTCTAGCTCGGTTCGCCGTGAAAACGGCGTTTCAAGAAGCAACATGACGATATCGTACTCGGGATTTATTTTTCACTCACCTGTACCTATGAAAGAGACAATAACACAAAACACCAACACGTGGGGTTTTATTCACGTTCATGCTAATTACCCACGCACCCCGCAACCCTACCGTTCTGTAAAATAAATGGAAAAATGGTTTAATGAGTACGCCGAAATTGGCCGAGAAGCACCGAAGATATCGCCTCAGTTCCGAGCGAACGCATGTTTAGGAGTATAGGAGCTGAGCCATGAAAATCCGTGTCTGTGATTGGGCTTCGCTGGTTCAAGTGAACCGACGTTCTGGCCGCTTCAGTTAAAGAACTAGGGGCATAAATCGCACGGTATTTAACGGAAAATGTCAGCAGGAAGCGTAAAAAATAAAAAATCATGTACAGATTTCCCATTTCAACATATTTTTGTAACTAAAAATGCATTGAAAACTCTTTTTTAATTATAAATTAAGTCGATCTGTTCTTAAGATATATGCTGTGAGGCGCCGCCTCACTTGCCTCATCTGACGAGCCGCCACTGGTATATGTACTGGCAAAAAATTCTGCTAGTATTTCAGCCGATTCAGAGTTAGATTTAGAACAATAACCATCGTTGTTTTTTACAGTAGGCAAAGAAATTTTCGAACACAGTTTGCGTTTAGTATATTTATACACTGCTTTTGGTCCTCTGTTCAACAAGGAATTTTCATAAATTTGTCTGGCCTTATTTAAATCTTTGCTTAGTATATTGGCAAAACTGCGGTGCAACTCAAAATCTTCTGTTTTCTTTGTCAGTTTATATTTTTTCCACAATTTTCTTTTATACTTAACCCTTCGCAGTAAATCCCCTGAAATCCAAGGTTTTGTACTATTCGACTGCTTGACTTTCGTCTTACTGTTGTTAGCAACTACACTATGTATTGTGTTTTTGAATACATTCCACAAAGTTTGTACTTCAGAAATAGAGTAAAAGGCTTCCCAGTTGAGGTGGTCCATGACAAAAGAAACTTGTTACAATTAATATTCGGAATCATATCAGAAACATTCTCCTGCGTCTTGAATTTCTTGCACTCTCGAGTTGACCTGCTCCTCACTTCTACAGACGCCCTCAACTCCAACAATACGAGCAACCCACAGCACCAATGATTAAAATTTGACATAAATAAATAATCAGACAATGTTTTTACCTTGGTCATGAGATATTCGTCGTCATCAGCAGTCAGTTAAAAAGGTTTTTTTTTCACTAGTAGCCGTGAAGCATGCAATTGTTGACTTATTTATTAGAGGTAGTAAAGTTCAACTTTTACCACCAAGGTTAAAAAAGAAGATTGAGGTTATGTATGAATTGCTAGATGTAATTATTTCTTAAATAATGAATAAATGTGTGCTACTAACATTACTTAAGGATACGCATGGTAGTTAGTAGACGATGGAAGATAAAATGATTAATTCAGCGACAAGTGTAAGCGGTTTTCTTGGTGTTGAAAATTTAGGTTAAGTTTGTCGCAAGGTTTCTACTAGTGAAAAAAATAGTAGGTATATTAACCACGTTTGTGAAGCCAAAGCGCTTTAGAGCTCTCGACGCTGTGCGTGTCGGGTTCTAATTTGCGTTCGGTCTAGAATGGTTGTCTTCACAACCTGGTTAATAATATACTATTATCTTATACCATCCAAAAATAATAAATTTCATATCAGGACATAAATTTGTCCACCGTATGTAGGATATGTAGTTGGCGGGCGTTACTAAATAAATGTCTATTGAAGTCGAGGGAACATGGGAACATCAAATTTTAATACTGGTTCTGGCTCTGTTCTTAAGTTCCGAAATTGTGCTGTACATTTTCATAATAATTGATAATAAAAAAAAAATCATTAGTAAGTTATTGTTTTCTTCTTTACAATAAATACATGGAGCAGCAAGAGATTTTATCAAGATTTAAGTTTTAGTGAAATACTGGAACCTTAGCAACCAGCATTTCATTTAATGAAATAGTGATTCGTTTTAGCAATGCCAAACAACGGTAATAATGGGTAGAATATAAACAGGTATAAGTGAAAATATTGCTCCTAAAACGTGCTTCGCAAGTTCCACATTCCCACAAACAAGTGTTCATGCGGGAAGCAGGCGGGCTAGTTGATTATTATCTTTGAATGATTTTAATTTAAGTTCCAGCCTCGTTGTAGAATTTTTCACGTGTTTAATTCTGTTCAATCAGATTATTATTATTATAATGGGAAAAATCAACTTACAATATTATACTGAGGATAATTTATAATAGGTATGTTGTTTTTGTTTACCGACAAGTTTTCTAATTTTGACAGTGGCCAAATTTAAGAAAATGAACCAAAATAAACGTTTTAGGTCCGCATCTGTGTGGAACAGATTAATGAAGAAATTCCAGTAAAAACACTGTAATTAGAAGTAATTCAGTTTGGTCGCAATTACAATTATTTAGTGGCGAAAGGGGGTACAATCTAGAATAAAATACCTCTGTCACAAAATTGGCCCACATTTTAACAGAGTGGGCATTCAATATGAAACTGTGTAATTCTCTAACACCATAACCATCTCGGTGAAAACTATAAAGAAACGGTGCGATCAAAATAATGTGGAACAAAACCGCCAAACTTATGACAATATATGTATTTTAACGAATTTAACAGAGTCATAGACCCGTTTAAAGATGGGGACGCGCGAAATAATAGAAGTACAAAGCGAAAACCTGATGCTCTGAAATCTGGCAGGCGTTTTACGACTATCCTAAGCATAGTAAATGGTCAATTAAAATTTATCCGTTTATACCCACCCAAAAAAAGCTGATGCCGTCATCTCAAATTTTTACCATAAATATATATATGCACAATGTTAAGAGCCCATATGGTGGTTTATCATATTTTCCAGAATTGTTTATACTCGTAAAAATACTCGCGAAAATTTGCCCATACAGTACTGTTATTAATAGTATTACACTGGACTAATTCAAATTGGTATAGGTTACGTGTCTTCGTGAAAATGTTGATGACGTAATAAAAAAAAAATTATATGGAAAAACTCATTAGAAACACATGCATGCGATACTTCAGTAGCTGTACTTTAACAATCAACAAATGAATGTATTATTTTAGTTCATAGGGGTCAACATCAAAGTTAAATTTTATAATTTTTCGAAGCTGTATTTGTGTTTGTGTGCCTGTTATTTAGGGTCGAGGGTAGTTCAAACGAAATAACCTTTAATCATTTTTTTATATACGTATTTAATTCTTTTTTCTAGTTTAAAGTGAATTAAGACAATAATGAATTTTTGTAATAATAAATAAATGTTATCAAAGAATTGAATATTTTCATTCGAATACCACATGATAGTAAGAATAAATTTAATAAGAAAATATTTCTCGAATTTGTTTCTCAAACCTGTTGCCATTAGGCAATAGCCACTCGAGCCCTACGGGCTTTCGTGTCTATTGCCAGGCAACAAGTTTTGGAAAAACTATCTCATTAGGTAAGTGTTTTCAGTTGATTCTCACTAGCTTGTGATAACACTGACAAATCGTGTATTGCATGAAAAATTTTCTCATAAAATGCTACCGACTAAAATGTAGAAGAATAAAAAGCATTAGCACGGATTGTTATTACCTGTGGTTATTACATGAAGTGGGTAATTTGGATAATTCTTCTAATGATTAGCCTTTACAATATCAGAGCAGTATTGATGGTGGTATAATCGACGAAAAAAAAGATACAGCTGATACAGTTATAAAACGGAATTGGTACCGCGCGTACGGCAACGTGTGTGATGTTTATTGCATTTGGTGAGGTGGATATTTCATTGTGCGTTGAATATTTGTTTATTCTAGATAATTATTTGCGGGCAAAATGCGTTTTTAGCGAATAAAAGTTAGTCCGCTAGTCACAGGTATATAAGAGTTAGTAATTTTAAAATTCAGTGTAGATTTCTAGATATAAATTACTTTTTGATTTTCATTGATTTATTTATAATGAAGTTTGTGTATTATCAACTATTTCCTCTGATGTTTCCGTATATCGCGTCAAGGCTGGATCAAGGCCAATGACCATAGAAATGTAACGTGTTGTGTTTATGTGTGGTAGTTAAAAATATAGAAACGTTGAAGTGCTCGGATAGATAAAGTTCCAAAATTTTAATGCTACGTAAATTTTAAGTGTGCATTATTCTGCATGAATCGAAAAAAGGTATGTCAATGTGAGAACATGTTTGCGTTGAGGTTATTTTCTTTCCTGCTGTCTCCATTTTATTCTTTGTTCAAATGTGTTCCGAGTTAAAGTTCATCTAAATTCACCGTCAATTATTTTATGAAAAGTTATAATCTTCTGACCCTCTTTCGGATCAAGACCCTGTTTAAAGCTGTCAATCTTATCCTACGGTACTTTTTGTTAGGACCGTAATCTGATTCCACAGTCAGTTATTTACCGAGACCATATTTTCAGTTGTCAGAAATTTTAAATGCACAGGTAAAAGTAAAAAACGTTCAAAAAGACCAAGACAACTGAAGACGAATACGGGTCGAAACAACTATTGCCATTAATTATTATTACACTGAGACATGAGGGTGAAGACACTGCGAGGATGAGGAGAGTCAGATTTTATGATTTTTTTTCTATTTATGTTGTCTACTTTTTATTAAATAATACAATATAAATTAAAGAAAGTACCCACATTCTTAAAAAAAAGCAACAATAATTTTTGAAATCAACTAAACTTTTTTGATTTTTAATTCGGTATCCCTCTTTCAGTAGATATTTTACATACCTACTCGCCTATTTATTCCTAAAGAATATTATTTTCTTATAAAAAATAATTGTTTTTATAAAACTGTAAAATTGTACATTTTTAAAAAATAAATTCCGCTTTTACCGAGTTTTTGTTTAAGCGAGTGAGACTTGCTCCAGATTGTGTAGAGTATCAGGACTCCATTGTAATTTACTCATTACGTAACCAAAATAAATATTTATTAGTAAAAGTTTAAGATTAATTCTGAGGAAGAGAATTGCTAAATAACATGAAAGTTGTAGTTTTCAAGAGGATTTTAAGTTCGGCTCTGTCGCTCTGAGACATTGGCCGGAACAATACTACCTGGGAAATGATTTTTTCTGAAACCTGAGTGCAAGTACCATTTTCGCGCCGCAAATGTTTTTAATTTTTATTTATTTATATTTTTAATTAATATTAAAATCTACAGTTGTAACTATTTTGTACATTGCACATGTTAATTCTAGACAAAGCGCTCTTATTTTTTATAACAACATTAATTTCTTTAATAACTGTCACATTTCGAAGAACCAGCAACTCCTGATTTTTTGGCTTGACACCCGTCAACGTGTCCTTTCAAGTACGCAATAAGCTTTTATTTCTATTAACCTTCTTAGCGTTACACCAATCAAAAGCTTAATAAACTCCGTTGTACCTCATTTTCGATTATTTTAGTAGCACATCTGTCACGGCGTTTGCTCTCGCTTCTTAGATGCTTAAAAGGAACCTCCTCCCAAATATAGTGCTTGACAAAAAATCCCGGACACTTGAATTTTTTGTGATTACCTGCAATTGTTAAAGATATAACGATCGAACTTTTGTAGAAAATATTCCAAAAAGCGAAACAATAATGTATTCAATATTCGTGAAAAACTGAAAATGGAATTTTTAGGCCTCAAAAGCGGCCTAAAAGTAAGTCTTTTCTGGCCGCAAACATTTTTGGCCGATATATGGTGGCGGCATCTATCCATAGTTTTGCATATTACATAAAGATACCGATATTACCTACTGTTTCAAATAATGTCAAATAATAATTGCATACAAGCTAGATCTAAGTTCTAAGGGTGGCGGTCTTCAACAGTCGCTGAAAATTATATTGAAGATTCATTGTCTAATAAATTGTCGATTGCTGAAAAGATTTTGAATAACAACGATGGCGGCAGAAATAATCCAGACAAAAATTGTGCTGCAACAACTTTAAAGCGTGCTTTAGAGGTTGATCATGGAAATTATGAACCTAGTCATGCTGAAATTCTAAGTGTAAATAAGGAGAATATAAACGTGTCCGAGAGATCTATAAATCTTTATAATTATTCAGTTGTAATTAATCACTTTGTCAACAAGTCATAATTAGAAATTTCGTTATTAATTATTGTTCCTGTTGTTTTAAAATATAAGTAGTTGATATGTACCTATCGTTAAATGTTTACTAAAAATTAATTCATTGCCTATGTTCAGTTATAACTTCTTATAAAAAATATGCAGTAATATCAGTAAATTAAAACTGAAAGTCAATACATTTGTATAGTTTATAATGAAGTCGCCTAAAAAATCTTGGGTGCACCTCGGCCAAAAAGTGTGATTTAGGCCTCGCCTTATTTCTGGTCTCGGCTATCGCCTCGGCCATTAATCCAAACTCGGCCGAAAGTGAAACACTTTTTGGCCTAGGTACCCAAATAGCTATTGTTCTAAAACATGTGGAAACAGAAAAAAAGTGAAAATCAGAATTTAACACTAAACATTCCATGCGTTGTAATTTACACTCTAACTGTGTAGGTACCCTGATTAATATCCGGTATTACTCCCTCAGGTTTCAATTACAGCATTTAAACGTCGTGGCATACTTCGAATGAGGTTGGCTTTTACATCTTGATCTAGCTGTTCCCATTCTTTACGAAGAGTACGTTCCTGAATTGTTTCTGGAACATTTTCACGCCTCCTACTGCGTTTTATCATTTCGTCTCAAACATGCTGTGGGATTTAGATCGGGGCTACGCTAGCCAATTCATCCTTCTGATATGAACCTTATCCAAATAATCTCTTTCCACATTCGCGATATGTAGACGAGCGTTGTCGTGCATAAAGATGAAGTCGGACCAATGAAAGGTGCGTATGGTACAACATGGTCTATTAAACAGTCGGTAATGTATCTTAGAGCTGTTATTGTTCCTCTCTCCATTATTACTAAATCTGTGCGAGCTTCTAATGATATGCCTCCCCAGACCATACCACCGCCGTATTCTTTCATTAAAGCAGCACTGTGCATAACGTTCATTAGGTCTTCTCCAAACCCGTTCTCGTGCATCTGATGATCTTAAATTAAATTTGGACTCATCTGAGAAGAGAACCTTTTCCCATTGGTCGATTGTCCAATCAAGATGCTCTCTTGCAAATTCTAATCTTTGCTGTCGATACTGTGCCAACAGTTTTGGACCCGTTGCTGGTTTTCGAAATGATAAATTGTTTTCCCGTAGTCTTCTAGAGACTGTTCTTGCAGAAACAATAGTACTATGCGAATTTCTTAATGGCCGTGCTACAATATTGGTAATTAACTAACGGTTTCAGAAAAAATGTAATACATGACTCGTCAGTAAAATGTCCGTACTTAACTCGGAGTTTTAAAATACTCGGCATGAAGTGCTTCGTATTTCAATAGGGCTCTTCGCCAGCATTGATCGCCAGTAATGATCCATTTTCCTGACTTTTGTGTAAATAATAGAGATGTACTGACTGTAGGTCTGGCCGACTAACCGACTAGCCGATTATTATTTGGCCAGTAAAAACCGACTAGTCGGCCGACTGTTCGGCTTTGCTAAAACCGGTTTATAAATGCGACAGACAGTGTGTTTTTTTTTCTATTTTTCTGACTATCTTAAAAATTTGTTTTATTTTAATAAAAGCAACCACTAAAGTTCCTTCGTTTTCCAAAAAATGTGTTAAATTTGTTTGGATAATTTTAACATTTAATTTTTTTTAGTAACTCAGTACAAAAATAAAGAATAACACAATTTATGGCCACTTTTTACAATATTTTAACTGAGATTAAGTTGATTGCGCATTTAACAAGGCCATTAGCGACGTCTATTTTAATTTTAATCAAAAAAACCGACCGATCGGCTGTTTAACCGACCAGTCGCCGACTGCCAGCCGACGATGAAAAACGGCCGAATAGTCGGCTTATCCGACCGGTCGCTACATCCCTAGTAAATAACTATTATTGCAAGTTGTGCGGGGCAGCAAATACCCCTCATAAACGGCGTTTGCTTCGTACTTTAGACGAACTTTACGATCCTTCATGTTTGAAGAAGGTTCTATCATTAGTTGATTATTATTAATGGTGGTGTATAATTCTCTATATTCGTAATTGTTAAAATGCATAAATAGTTATTTACAAATGTCGAAAGTAGCAAATATGGCACGAGTGGGAATTTTCACACCAGCCGTAGGCGAAAAACCCAGCGAGTGCGATTTGCACAAGTTATGTACGCAATATTTCCCACGACCACGGCACAGCGCATTTTTTTACTAAATGTTATTGCTATTTTGACAAACTAATTGTACATTTTTCAGATTAAAAAGTCACTATATTTTTAAAAACTGTATTACTTGTCAACATGGTATCAACATAAATGATGCGATTTTAATATAAATTAATTTATAATTATATATTACTGTTATTATTTAAACATTAGTAACAAAATCAATCAAGTATTAAGGTATTATTGCTGCTGTTTATCAATAGCATTAACAAAATTTATACTAATATTGGTGTTTGAGCAATTATTAAACTGTATAGGATACGCCAATGATTTGCTTATATTATATGATATCGTGCGATTTTGATGAGTATTTGCCAAGTTTGGTCGTTGCAACCTTTCTACATCCTGAAGTAGTGAATCTTGAATTGGTTCTATTGCTGAATGTTTTAATGGTTCATCTGTTACGGGATGAACACTGGACGAACGTCGACACGAACATGGCTGATCGTGAGACGGATCATTAATGGCATTCAAGATTTTGTCTGGAACTTGTATCTTATCGGTAAGACTTTCATCTATGTAGTCCTCGGCCACGGCAGTGGATTTCCACCCACCGTTGCGCTTGAGGGCTGTAATCTCACCACTGGCATTCACAAAAATCGTGGGGAATGACCGCGTAAAACAATGTCCAGTGTATTTTTCTGGGTTTGCCAGGCCAAGGTAGCTAGCAACTTCTTTTATTAGTATGTTACCGAATTTGTTAATGCCAACAGGCTGCTGTGTGCACTTCTCTTGTTGATAATTATCATTATAAATGGTTACAAACTCGAGAACAACATATTTATTAACCGAGATCTAACTCCCTTATAACGTAACCAAGCATACAAGATTCGCAAACAATTTGCCCAAAGAAAGAAGAATGGCGAAACTGACATAAAATTAAT